GATGCGGATGGTATTGTGGATTTGGCGGTAGTTTGGTAGGCTAATAGGTTATTGGGAGGTATGAAAGATGTCGAGGGATTTCTTGCTTGGTGGGTGGTTGTGAGGATAAGATAGGATATGGTAGGTTAGCTTAGGTTAGGTTAGACTAGGTTCGGATTATAACATTTTGAGGGTGGATATTGAGCTAGGTTGGGGTCATATGGTTTAGTGGTGTAGTCAGATGAGTAGTTTATCTTCCTTTTGTAAAGTAGTAATCTGTTGTCTACCTTATTTTTTGTTTTGTTTTATCCTCCTTTCTTCTCATCTGTTGTTGGAAGGGATTCTTAGTCTATGGGGACTGGGTATATGGAGGTATATCTATGGAGAGGTGACTAGGTTACTGAAAGCTTGGAAGTATATCGTGAGATTATGAGATTTGATCATGTATGGAGACTGTAGGGAGGAAACAAGGTGAGAAGTTATCTGAAGTCTGTTCTGCTTTCTTAGCTTGTATACAAGGCATTTGATTGTTCTCAGAGTGCAATTTGTGAATCATGGATTTAGTGGCTTTGGCTTTGGTGGAAGGGTATCTCGAGTAGTTGCCAGCTGGTAGTTGATTATTAATGATCTGATACAGCGGATGGAGTGGAAGGTGTAGGGAAAAGTGAGTGGAGCGGAGTGGAGAGAGTGTTAAGAACGGAGATGAAGATTTGGGATAGGCTACGACTACGGCTGCAAATGCGGACTGTCTGCGGGATTGTAACTCCAGATTGGAAATTAGGCTGTCGTTGATTTGTGTGAATGGTCTTTTGATAGTAACAGTGATTATAGAGAGGAAGGCACACTTACTGCTGTATGAGTGTGCCGCTAAGAGAGATTATATCACCAGGAAAATGAATTCGTTGGGAAAGATGAGGAGGTAGTGTTAGAAAGAGATCTGTGGAACTGCTCAGTGTTGTGCAAGGGAGAAAAGAGAGGTGTTAGCGGTAAAGGAAATCTGGATAATGAAATTAGAGGTATATATATATAGTACTTCGCTGCATCTAATAATGCTACTAGATCATATGGTAATGAGGATTTTTCACTAGTAGCACTCAAATATAACCACAACCAGTATAAGGTCTTAATAGGGAATAAAGCTTAAAATTTATCAATGGAGCAACTAGCAGATAGTATCGTCTGAGTACGAAAACACGGGGTATAAGGAACTGAGTAGCTGGGGTAAGATTTTGATAGAGTAAGTTGAACTTAAGAAGATCTTTACCTTGAGTTAGGGCAAAAAGAATTCAGAGGTTAGCTAGTATTATTACAATGCAATATCGTATTCAACTTTCTCCAGAAATGGAGTGGGATGATCATAGAGGTGGTGTGCTATACTATATACCACTCTATTTTCAGGAGGAAGATACCAGTGGGCGCACAATGAAAGGCATGGCATACCGACGCCTATATTATCTGATAGTACGGAGAAAAGAAGAAGAAGGTAAAGACAACAGCGCTCGGAAAGAGCGATCAAAACTTACCAGACAACAACAACGAAAAAAAAAAAACCAACTTTTGGTGAGAATCACTTAGACAAATACCAAACCAAATAGATACTCTTACCACCGAAAACTCCACAACTCCACACAAGCAAGAACCTCCCGATCAATCAAATCCTCCTCAATTTTCCATCCAAGGTAAATTACACACCCCTATCCTCAAATCTAAATCTTACATACTTCCCAGCGCCCAAATATCCCAAATATCAACCCTACAAAAACAAAATCACAACTCTAAAACAAGTCCAACCCCCCCCTTCGATTACCAGCAAACCAAAAGTGACTTTCCATCTAATTACCCACATTAATAAGTCTTACATAACCAATCGATCCTATAGTAGCCCCAGCAGATATAAATACATAAATAATCAGATCAGTAGTTAATAAGTATTAAGTATTAGTTTTGCACTTGATACCGCTTTTTTATGATTTATGATTCAATTTTAGCTTGATTTGAATGTTGTGCTGACGACGTTTTGTTTTTGTTTTTATTTTTGTATGGGGTGGAGCGAGGCGGGACTAATTTGGATAGGATGATGTGGAGGATAGGTTGGTGGTTAGCGAAATAAGAAATTAGTTGGTTAGATAGATAGATAAATAGATGGTAAATTAGAGGTTTAAGGTTTGGATGAGGAGGTTTATGTATTAGGTAGTAGGTACTTATACAGCGATTTTTGTTGTATTGAGAGATTTTCGTTTGTGTGTTGATTTGTGGATTTGAATTTTTTATGTTTTCAAGGGGTTGGGGGGAATATTTGATTGTCTGGTAGAGCAGGATAGGTTAATATATAAACATTAGATGGATTTTTGCTGTGGCATTGCCTTTGTCTTTTTTTCTTTTTCTCTTTTTTCTTCCCTTCCCTTCCCTTCCCTTCCCTTACCTTACCTTACCTTACCTTACCTTACCATACCTTAACATTGCCTACCATTCCATGTCATCCCCTTTGAAGGTACAGTCATGGGCTCGTGTAGGTATAAAGCGATTCCAGGGATTCTGTGCGAAGGATGTTCTGAGAAGAATTACGACAAATTCTCCAACTCATGATCGTCCTACACCTCAACATATGAATTTTCCATCTACCAGACTTTGCTATCACTGGGACACTTTACCACCTACAGAAGCACAACTCGTCCATGCAAATACGTTTTTTACTAAAAAGCCGTTCAAGCACTTATGGTCTACTTCACAATTCTACTCCATGGCGTTTGGAGACAGCCCTGAGGTTTGCTTCTTAGGACGATCAAATGTAAGCATAATCAGCCCTCTATGTTATAATTGTGTTTGTTGCTTTTAGTTTTCGCATCATATCTCTGTGTTGCACAGACTCTTTAGTAAGATTTGATCAACATGCAATATTGCCTTTGCAAAGTATGTACTGACACTATCATATTTCC